AAGCTTTATGTGTTTATACTTGCTGGAGGGCTGGGGGAGTGGGGAGAGGATTGGCTGGCCTTGAAGAAGGCTGGAGCCAAGGCATTTTATAGGACCAGATTCCCACAACCTTTTTTGCTATTATAAGTATTTTCTCTATCAACAGATACTAAAGGGCCGGCCCGGTGGCACAGTAGTTAAGTTCATGCTCTCTGCTTCAAAGGCCCGGGGTTCCCGGGTTTGGATCCCGGGCGTGGACCTACACACCACTCATTAAGCCATGCTGTGGTGGCGTCCCACATACAAAATAGAGGAAGATTGGCACAGATGTTAGCTCAGGGCCAATCTTCCTCACCAAAAAAAAAAAAAAAAACCCAGATGCTAATATGATAATAATAGTTAACCTTTATCGAGAACTTACCATGTACCAAACGCTGTGCTGAGCACTTTATATACATACTTCTGTCATATGAGGTGGCCTATTATTTATACCCATTTTGCTGATGGGGCGACTGAGGCTGAAGGGGTGAGGTTGCTTGTGCAGGATCCCAGTTTGATTCATTGGGATACACTGAATGTCAACCTGGGAGTCTCCCGTCAGAGCACTTGCTCTTTACCACTGCACAGTAGATACAGCTGTTGTCAAGTAGAGTCTGAAATGACAGCAAAAGGGGTTCTCACGAAGGAAAATGTCTAGAAACCACTGACTTAACTCCTTTTGAATAGAAAAACAGGCCCAGAGAGGGTAATGATCTGCCCAAGATTGCAGATCAGTTGCTTCCAGGAAGCTAGAACTTTCTCCAAGTGAGGATGTGGTATAGGATCCTCAGATCCCTGGGCCGGAAGTGTGCATGGAAACCATATGCCCCTCTAGAATCAGCCAGACCATGTGCCACCAGGGCCAGATCCCCAGCCCCACGCCCACTGCCGCCTGCCGGTCCAGGAGCAGCCTCGTCTTCAGGATCTGCTGCGTTCGTCTAAGGCAGTGGTGCTCAAAGTGTGGTCTGGGGACCCCTGGGGTCCTGGAGGCTTTCTGGGAGTCTGCAGGTCAAAATTATTTTCCTAATAATAAAGTGTCATTTGCCTTCTCGCTCTCGTGTACTCCCCAGTGTCTGGGGGAGTTCTCCAGAGGCCGTGTGACCTGTGATGAGGGTGTCACGGTGATGGGCTGTGAGCTTGTGCGTGCAGATGCTGTAACACTTGCTGTCTTAATTTCTGATACAGTAAACAGTGATAGAATAACACACATAGACAAAAGCTCTCCAGGGGCCTCATTAATTTGTAAGGGTGCAAAGGTCATCCTGAGACCCAAACGCTCGAGAACCCCTGTTCTGAGGTACCAGCCCCAGTAAAGGGGAAGCTCGGCAGCAGAAGGGCTGAACGAAGAGGATTCCTTCAGCCCTGGCCCACCCTCCCTGCCTCTGGCCCTGTGGACCCCTGCACTCGGGCACTGAAAGGCTTGTGGCCGAGCTCAGCCTGGGGGAAAGGTAGGAAGGGGGAAACAGCCTTTTTCTTTGAGAGGGGGCAAAGCACAGAGGCCCTGGGGACGGCGGTCCGTCTCAGCCTTGCTCCTCTGCAGCCCTTTCACCCTGGAGTGAGGACGCAGCCATGGCTGGTGCAGATGGGAGTTTTTACAGGGAGTTTCCAGAATGTCCAGAAATGCAGGCCAGCTTCTCAGCATGCCCAGTGGGATAGCTGAAGTTACCAGAAAGGAAATAGTGGCCTGGAATACACAGGCCAAGGGAGGATGTTACTGAGAAAGTCTGTGAATTGCTTGCCATTTTACCTTCCCATGGGCCACAGGCCAGGGAGGTGGGCAGGCCAAGGAGAAGGGCCTGAAGAAGTCAGTTTAGGAGCTGGCATGGCCTTGTTTGTGGACAGGTGGGCACCACCAGAGGCAGAGGGACAATCTTAACCCTAAAGGATTTCTGCATGTTGAAAATATTAGTCGGTGCTCAGTTCAGGAAACAGAACCCACCCTAGGTGCCTTAAGCAGGAAGGGATTTACTGCGGGGGATTAGGTGCCAGCAGAATCATTGGAAGGGCTCAAGGAGCAGGTTCAAGGCTGAGCCTCCAGGAATGACTCCAAAGACAATACAGAACTCTTCCATCAGGGGGCTGTTCCCTCGGAGACAGCCCCCTCGGGAGCTGCAGTTCAGGATTGAAGCTGGAATCCAGAAGTCTTCACTGTTACTTTCAGTCGCACTACCACTGCCTCTGAGGCTCCCAGGAAGGCAGAAAATGGACACTGGAATGCCCTGCAGGAAAAAAAAAAGACCTCATGTTTCATTAGCTTGCTAGCAGAAACAGACAAAGGGACACGAAGGTGGTCTCCGCCTCACGTCCATGTACCAGATCTCATGCAACTGCCTCTTAATGGTGAAACCTAAGCTGTGTCCAGAACCCCAGCTGCAAAGGAGTCTGGGAAATGTAGTTTCCAACTAACTTGCTCCATGTCTCCGCCTAAGACAGTAATGTGGAGGCCAAAGTAGCCAATGGTAACCAGCGTCTGCCCACCGAGGTTATCAGTGCTGCCTTTTTTCATAGGTTGTAAGAGGCACGAAGCAGAAGAATGAATCCAGGCACCATCTGATTACACTTCATGGTTTCCTGAGTTCCCTCTGGGATTTCCCCTAGTGCAGCGGGGAGGTGCCGCTTAGAGCTTTAGTGGCCACACTTGGCACTTGGTCTTGGCTGTGGGCCACCGTAGGGAAGAATGGCTGGCAAATCCACCAACTATCTTTTTGTTTACACTTCAGTCTGCAATGCTGGTGGTTTCGATAAAAGCCTTCCCCTTGGATCAGAAAGACTGGTAACTAGAAGTATATGTCTGAGCCTGCTTTCTAGCATTTTAAGAATTGTAAAATTCAAAAATATTTGGGGGGAATTCAAACGGGCATTTATAATCAAGAAACATCTTTTTTTTTGTGAGGAAGATCAGCCCTGAGCTAACATCCGTGCTAATCCTCCTTTTTGTGCTGAGGAAGACTGGCTCTGAGCTAACATCTATTGCCAATCCTCCTTTTTTTTTCCCCAAAGCCCCAGTAGATAGTTGTATGTCATAGTTGCACATCCTTCTAGTTGCCATATGTGGGACGCGGCCTCAGCATGGCCGGAGAAGTGGTGCGTCGGTGTGCGCCCGGGATCTGAACCCCGGGCCACCAGTAGTGGAGCGCGCACACTTAACCGCTAAGCCACAGGGCCGGCTCCAAGAAACATCTTTTACTTATTTATTTATTTTGTGAGGAGATCAGCCCTGAGCTAACATCTGCCAATCCTCCTCTTTTTTTTTTTTTACTGAGGAAGACTGGCCCTGGGCTAACATCCGTGCCCATCTTCCTCCACTTTGTATGGGATGCCGCCACAGCATGGCTTACCAAGTGGTGCGTCGGTGCGCGCCCAGGATCTGAACTGGTGAACCCCAGGCCGCTGCAGCAGAGCGTGCGCACTTAACTGCTTGCGCCACCAGGCCAGCCCCAAGAAACATCTTTTAAACAGAGGGGTAATTTACAAATGAATTGTTGGTCCTTCCTAGATTCTACAAGTTCGCCCCCTCGAGTCCTAACTTCCCACCCTAATGAGTCAGCGCTGTGCCCTTGAAAATTATACACAGTTTTTTTCCAGGCAGAAACATGACTAGTCCAGAACTGAAAACGTGGATGCCTTATGCTAAGTTCTTGGATGCATTATACTCAGCCGTACCTGTAGTCACTCAGCAAATGTTTGTTGAGGACCTGTTGTGTCCAGGCCCATGCGGGGCCTGATGCGGAGAGTGCAGAGATGAGGAAGGCATCGTTCCTGTCCTGAGGAGGAATAGGCTAGTCAGGAAGATGAGACACGTTCATTGCTGGAAGAGAGAGTTCTAACGGATCTTGGAGCAGGAAGAGATTATTTTCTTTGGAGAGAGGGGATCTGGAAAGGTTTCTGGAAAGAGATGGCATTGGAACTGAAGGATAAAGGGGATTTGGACGGGCCGAAGCGAGAGCTGGCTCATTGTCGTGAGGAGGTAGGCCAGGCAGGGTGGGCAGTGGTGAGATCTGTTGTCTGTGAAGTGGTCTCCCCAGGAGGTGTTCACCACGGGGGACTTGCCGGAACTGGTGGAGGACAGGAGGGGCGCTTCCCTCAGTGGTGAGCAGACCCCACCTCCCCTGCTAAAGCAAAGATCTGCGGGGTGGGGATGGACCCTGGGTGGCTGTGCCGCTGTGTGGCTGAAGACCAGGGAGCACTAGTCACTTTCCTTGTGAGTGGCGCCCCCTGGTGACAATTAGAATACCGTGTGAAAGGTGCCCCCTGGAGTTTGCCGCTCAGAGGCCTTGCTGAACGGCCTCGCCCTGCTTCCATCTAATGCCCCAGCCGTGGCCATGGATTCTTAGAGTTAAGTCCCCGGGACCGTTCCTCCTCGTAGGATTTGGAGCACCAAGCTGGGGCAACCCTGCCTGCCACGGAAGGTGACATAAGGCCCACCATCTGCCCAGGTGCTGGTTGAGGAAGGAATGACTGCCAGCCACGCACGTAGAGTGTGACGTGCGTCGTCTCCTTTAGCCTCATGACAGTCCTGAGGAGTAGGTGTTACCTGTCTCACAGGTGAAGAAAACAGGCTCGGGGGTGTCTGTGGTGAGGCAGGGACAGCTGCTAATGACAATGCTGGGTTTGGAGCCTGGGTAGTCCTTCCCTTCTGCAAAGAGGGAGACCTAGAGACCCCATCTGAATTCTTTGGAGGCGGCAAGAGTCCCCAGTTCCACACACTGGAAAACCGCTTCTTTCATTGGGCACTTAAGGCTTGCAGCTTCTCCTCATGGCCCATGACAGGACTTCCTTCTGACCCACGACAGAGTTTCTGTGGAGTAGGACAAATTGGGGTCTCTGTGAGGAGAAGGATCAGGTCCCCTGCTCCCCTCAGGCCTGAAGGTTATGGGGTGCGCAGCCTCTGGCCGTTCTCTGAGAGTGCATGTTGAAGGGGGGGCCCCTTCCGCCCCTCCAGGAGCCCGCACCCGGCCTGACCCCTCTCTGCTGCCTCGCAGGCCCTTCATGCTGCTGCCGCCACTGATGGAGTGGATGCGCGTGGCCCTCACCTACGCGGAACACCGCCGCAGCCTCACCGTGGACAGTGGTGACGTCCGGCAGGCAGCCCGGCTGCTGCTGCCCGGCCTGGACTGTGAGCCCCGGCAGCTCAAGTATGGAACCGGGGGGAACTGGGGGGAGTGAGGCGGGAGGGCCCCGGCTTCTGTGCCCAGCCCCTGCAAACCTTCTCCTGCCGGGGGCTGGGGGAGGGCAGCACATTCCAGCCGCTCTAAGGGCCTGCTCTGCACATGCCACGCCTGTGAGAACCAATCGTTCTGGACCTTGGCTGCTTTGTAGATGCATCTTCGGCAGCCACTGAGCACAGAGCAGACATTTAGATTTGGGCAGGAGAGCTCTCACAGTCTCTCCTGTTGGAGTGTTGGGGGGCTAAGCGACAGAAGGGGCCCTCTTTCCTGTCTTCCCATAATTGCACCACTTTCCTGGGTACCCCTAAGTGCAGGCGCTGTGCTGAGCCCTTCTTTTTGACATGCATTATCTTGGTCCTCGTGACAACTTTAGAGAAGAAAGGGCTGTCATGCTCACATTAGACAGAGCTGAAGATCGGGGAGGAACACTAACTTGCCCGCAGATACTCAGCTAGCAAAGTGGCCACACCCAGGTTTGAACCCAGGTCCACGTGACCCTAAGCCTGGGCTCTTAATTTCCTTCCCCACATGGCTGCCTTGTCTTGGACTGGTCTCCTAAAGTTGTTCCAAAGGTTACCTCTGGCCATCCTTGGCCTGTGAGAGCCTTACATCCTTTTTTTTTTTTGGCACTCTGCCAGTTATGGCCACCTCTGTCTCCATGGCAAATGGAACCTCATTCTAAGACATGGACTTTCTACGCTTTGGCCCAACCAAGACTCCAGGCTGAAGCCGCCTTCTGGAAGCCTGTGGCGTGCCTCTGTAGACACAGGTTTTAGCTGTGCCTCTCCGTGATCACAGTTGGATTCTGGGCCACTGTCCACTGTCTCTTCTGGGCCTCACCAGGAAGCCTTGGGGGAGAGGATGTGGAGCTGGGAGCTGGAGCTTGGCCACAGTGTTGTTCTGGAAACTGAGTGTGGCCTTCTCCATGCAAAAACGATACAACCAAGCGCTGTGGCCCAGGCCCTAGCCGGAGCCTCTTCCTCCTCAGGGCTGACCCCCAATAGGTTACTTTAGCTGGGACTTGTTTCCTGAAAATTGACAGCTCTCAGGAGCTCAGAGAGCTTCTTTAACGTGTTTGTAGAACAGCGGAAGCATGTGCTCTTTATGTCACTGAGCATGATGAGGCCACACGTCAGCTTCGCACAGCTATGTCACGTCTCACTGAGAAGCTGTGTCCCAGCAGAAGGAGTCCACACACAGCATGCTAACACAGCCCGGTCTCTTCCGTGCAGGCCCGAATGCTGCTTCAGTTCCTTCCGGAGGCTGGATGCCCGAGCAGCCACTGAAAAATTCACCCAGGACCTGGGCTTCCGCATGCTCAGCTGCGGCAGGACGGACCTCATCAACCAGGCAATCGAAGCCCTGGGCCCGGATGGGGTTAACACCGTGGACGACCAAGTAGGTCCTGAGAGCTCCACTAGCCGGGCTTAGGGACCAGAATCAGGGATTTGTGATTGCCAGAGTTGGTGGCAGGGTCCTTTCTGTCCCAAACGAGAAGAGAGCTGCTCAGCTCTGTGCTGCTAAGAGGTGGGCACCTCCTGAGTCGTGCCCTGCCTGTTCCAGGCGGGATGTCAGCTTGAAGACTTCCCAGGACCCCGTGGAAAACCTTTGTGACGGGGACTTGCTTCACCTCACTGGAAGGCTGGGGACTGTCCCAGGTGGTGCAGGGCTGGGAAAAGTCCAGAGGAGCCAGCCTGATCGCAAGCTGTGGATGACAATCACTAAGACTTGTAGCAGAGCCTCATGCGTGCCTGCGACATGCCAGGCCCGCAGAGACCCCTGCCTTCACAGTCACCCTTCTTGCAGGGAGGCAGATACTGAGAAACATAAACACGTAAAATATAGAAAAAGTGCTAAAGAGTAAAAGGAAGCCAGGAAAGGGAATGTTGGAGGTGATTTACAGTTTTAGGTGGAATTTAACTTGAGTTTTTTGTTTGCTTTGTTGTTTTTGCTGTGAACAGCTAACATTTACGTCACGCTTAGGATGTTCCAGGCTTCGTTCCAAGCGCTGTGCACAGATTAACCCGTTTAATCCTGACAGCAGCCCTGTGATGTAGGTACTGGTATTATCCCCATTTTATTGATGAGGAAACTGAGGTCAGAGAAGTTGATTTACCTGAGGCCACACAACTAGCAAGGAGCAGAGCTGGCATTAGAAGAGTCCAGGCATCTGCCTCCAGGCTCTTAACCCCTGCAGTGTCCTGTTTGTTTACTGGACAATGTTTTGTGAGCACCTGCAGCGTAGGCAATGGCACTGTGGTCTGCAAGCCCCCGCAGAGGCCTGGGCAAGATAGAGGACACCTGAGGGGTTAGGTGGCGCTCTTGGATGAGGTGACAGCACCGTGTAGAGCTTGATGAAGCGCCTGGCAACCATGAGGCCAAAGTGGTCTTCGACAGGTCAGGCAGGGGCGGCCAGGGAACGCTTCCTCCTGGAGGGGTCCGAGCCAAGCCTGAGGGAGGGAGGATGGGATGAAGCAGAGGGGAGTGGGCAAGGGGATGATGGGGAGCAAAGTGTGGAAGTGGGACAGTTGGGGTGCGTGCTGGGACGGGGGACCATGAGGCTGAGGGGGCGCATGCTGGGACGGGGGCCCGCGAGGCTGAGGGGGGCTGCAGCAGGGCAGCGAGGAGGTGACAGGCTGGGTGACAGCTCTCCCAGGGGAGCCTCTGTCAGCGCAGGTCCAGGGCTTTCCGGGAGCCTTCCCCCGGGTGAGGACTCTGCCCCCTCGGAGCACAGGAGGTAGGCCTATGACCTTCGCTGCAGATAGACCTGGGTTTTAGTCCTCTACGTCATAGCCATGCAACCTGAGACAAGCTGCTCTGCCTCCCTGAGCCTCAGTCTCCCCAGCTGCAGCACGGGGGATGGTAGCCCCTGCCCAGAGGTCGTTGTGAGACTCTGCCACTGGCACACAGTAAGTGCTCACTAAATGCGTGTTCTGGTTTTTCTGGTCCATGTGATGGTGACGATGATTATCCCTGAAATCTGTTAATCAGCCTCCAGTACGTACCTGGAGTGGGGATGGGGCAGCAGGAAACAGTGAGCTCTCCTCCCAAGGCTCGCAGCCCGGTTTAAACTCCGAGTTGCGTACCGCTGTGTGGAGGGAACGGTGGTGAGGCGTGTGCAGAGGCCGTAGACAGCCACACGTTCACTCCGTGGCAGCCGGCTTTTCTCTGCATGCCCAGTCCTGGCTGTTCCCTCAGCGCTGCATTCGCAGAACCATGTGTGGGTCAGCTGTTCTCTGGCTCTTGATTAATCTCAGGCCATTTCTTCATCTCTGGGCACTAGGCAAGGATTTATGAGGTAGGGAGACCGTGTCTACACACAAGCGACCCAGTAAATAACATCATGAGGCTCCCAGCACACTCGCCGGGATCCACCCGTGCAGTGACACTTTGTGCTGCTGCCTGTGCTGTTCCTGGCCGAGGAGAAGGAGTCCTGGCCAGGAGGCAGTCCTGTTAACTGCTCCCTGATCGCAGGGAGGGCCTGGCCCGGCTTTTGGAGAAGCTCTGACTGCTCGGTAGCACGAGATGGTCGAGTCCAGTACTCCCCCCCGGGAGCCGCTGCAGAGGCCAGCTTCCCGGCTCGGGTCACCTGGCCTCCCGTCGGCGTGCTTCCTGCTCCCTGTGGCCTTGGGCGAGTTAACCGCCCTCTGCTCCTCATCTGTAAAATGGGGATGATAACAGCACTCCCTCATGGGGGTCCTAGGTGATTAAATGAGAGAGTGCTAAAAATCGCTTCCCAGGGCGATCCACACGCACAAGGCCTGGGGCGGGTTGGGGTGGCGGTGTGACATTGCAGCAGAGGTGGTAGCAGAGATGATTAGCTCTTCACCAAGGTGAGCTTCCTCTGTGCTGAGCACTGTATCCGTAGTAACTCACACTCAACAATAATCCTGTGAGGGAGATACTGTTACTGCCATTGTAAAGATGGAGAAACCGAGGCACGGAGAGGTGCACTGACTTGTGCAAGTTCACAGCTCCCCACGCGGAGGTGTTCTTTGCACGGAGTTTGGCTCTGGGGCCTGTGCTCCTCACCTCATGTCCTGTGGCTCATGGAAATGTCTCTGCTCACCCTTCAGGTGTTGTCCGTCCAGGGGGCCTAGGAGGGTGGGCTGGAGGGGCACAAGGCACAGGATTGCTGAGGGTGAGCAGCTGGGTCGAGCAGGCCGGAGATCGGATCTGTGGTTCTGGGGCAGAGGCCCACGGGGTACGTGTCATCGTGTGCTGTGTCCAGACAGTTCAGCATCTGCTCTGGCTCATACAGGGTATGACGCCGCTGATGTATGCCTGTGCAGCAGGGGACGAGGCGATGGTCCAGATGCTGATCGATGCCGGGGCAAACCTGGACGTCCAGGTGAGTGGGCTGCACTGGCCCCAACCCAGCACGACCACACCCCAGGGTTTCCGTTTCCTGCTGCGGCCAGTGTTTGGACAACTAGGTAGATGTGTCTCAGAGGACTGGAAATAGGAGATGCATGGAGAGCAGTTAGCAAAGAGGATTTTTCCTCAAGACTTGGGCTTCCTGTGTGAGAGGGAGTGAGTTGAGGGGGGACCTGGGTGAAGAGAATGGCCATGATTCTGTTACTGGACACCTTTCCCCTTTACCAACCTGACTCCAGCCATCCCTGGGTCCCCAACACTTCTAGCTCTGGCTCCTCTGAGGCATAAAGTGTTCCCTTGTCTGCCATCTCTCTGCCTAGGGCAGACATTGCTAATTGAACATCCTTTGAGCCTTGTCCACATGGTGCTCCAGGCAGACGTTACTAATCAAATATAGAAAGTGCTTGAGTTGACTCCTGGTCATGGTCCCTGTATGGTACCTCCTGAGCCCAGGTGCCTGTGTCGCCTGCCCAGGAATGTCCCCCACCAAAGAAACCACTGGTCATTTGTGGTATTCTCCAGGTTCCAAGCAGCTCTCCTAGACACCCCTCTGTTCACCCTGATAGCCGGCACTGGACGCCGCTCACGTTCGCTGTGCTGCATGGGCACATCTCTGTGGTCCAGGTGAGCCTGGCCCGTGCACAGTGGGCCCTCGGATTGCCAGGTGGGCTGGGGCCTCACGCCTGGTCTCCTGGCCGGGTGCCCTAGACCACGTGCAGGCTCAGGAGGGTTTGGTCTCCAGAAACCTGGGCGGGAAGGAAAGTGGCTCCCTCCGGAGCAGCCAGTAAGGAAAGAGCTGAAAGTTGCCCGTTGGAGTGGTAGAGACACCACACCTGCCCCAAGGCAGAGCCGAGCCGGCTCAGTGGACCTGCTCCATGTCTGCTAACCCTGCCCCCTCTGTGCCCTGGCAAGGCTGCCCTGCCAGAAGGGGTAGAGGCCACCTGGTTCCTGGTCAGCGAGGCTCTGCCCCAGCAGCACTTCCCAGCCTGGGGTGCTCATTGAACCTCTCGTGAGAACCCTGAACCCGCTAGTCATTGACCCCTGTGAAGGGCTGAGCATCAGTCCATTTAATCCCCAACAATGCCGCAAGGCAGGCCACGTCCCGTTTCCCAGGAGAGGAAGACTGAGGCTCGGAGGGTGAGGTCCCTGCCCCAGGTCACTCACGGTCAGCGGCCAGCACGGCCCTCAGCTCTTTCTGACCCTGACACTTATGCCTTCCCTACTATGTCTGCTGCCTCCCAGAGCCTCAGTTTCCCCCAGTAGATGGGGGACGATAGTTTCTGTTCTGCTCATCTGCATGTGGTCACTGCACCCAGTTCACGGGAAAGCATTTGAAGAGAGAAACAGCTCAGAGGTGCCCCCAGCTTAGGGCTTGGTCTGAGACCAGAGGAATGGAGGTGAAGACTCTAGGCACTTGGAGCCCTGCGGGTAACCTGGAGTCCTCAAGCACTGGCTCCTTGGCTGCCGGGTGAGCAGGTCTTGGTCACCTGCCTGGAGGGAACTAAGCTGTCCCCAAAGCCTCCCCCTGCTCACGTCCCAGACCCTCCCCGCCACACTGACATGTCCCCCCCGTGCCCTGGCAGTTGCTGCTGGACGCCGGTGCCCACGTGGAGGGCTCAGCCGTGAATGGCGGCGAAGACAGCTATGCGGAGACACCCCTGCAGCTGGCCTCTGCGGCGGGTAGGTCCCCCGCTGCCCACCCGGCAAGGCCCCAACTGCCCGAGGGGTCTCCCTGCCCCTCCCCGCAGCGTCACCCAGGCTGGGGTCCTGTAGCTAGACATTCGGCTGCACATGCAGATCCCTGTGGGAGCCTGGAAGCCCCTCCTTCTGGGCCCCTGGGCCCCTTCGCCCCATCCATCAGCATTTCTGCCGAGCTCGGCACGCAGGCAGGACCAGCAGAGGGGCGCAGTGGTGTGCGTGGTGTCAGCGTCCTCGGTCTGCCTGTCTTGTAGGGAACTATGAGCTGGTCAGCTTGTTGCTGAGCCGAGGCGCTGACCCCCTGCTCAGCATGCTCGAAGCCAACGGCATGGCCTCCTCCCTCCACGAGGATATGAACTGCTTCAGCCACTCGGCCGCCCACGGCCACAGGTACCCACCCGGGGGTCTGCCCTGTGTGATGTGGGGCACGAAACAGGCTCTTGGGGGCCTCAATTCCCCAGTGGGGAGCAGACAAGCTAGGTCTGCAGATCTTTCCAGAGATGGGGGCTTGTGGGTGAGCCAGCCAGAAAGAAGATGCAGGCCCTCCGCCAGCACAGGGGCCCCAGAAGTGGGAGGGCCTGGAGCACTGAGGGCGGGTCGCTTGGAAGGGCCCTACAGCCTGTTCCTTGCGGACCTGGGACAGGGCCTGGGTCTCCCATTTCCTGTAAGACTCTGTACCCTGCACCCGCCGGGCTGCCTCGGGGCCACGTCCCTTCCCGCTCGGTGGTGACTCTGCGGAGCTGCAGGCAGGGGCCTCCACGTAGCGTGTGGCTCAGCCCGGAGGAGGCTCCCAGCGGCTCTGCGGGAGATTACATCCCGCTGCAAGGGCAGATGGTGGACCTTGCTTGGTGGGAGCCACGCCTGCCCAGGGGTGTGGCAGGGCAGCCGCAGACCGAGACACAGCTGTGAGGCAGCTCCGGGGCAGAGGCAGACAGAGAGAAGGTTATTAGAAGGCAGAGGAGGGCAGGGGGGGACACCTACTTCCCGTTCCTGCTGGGCCCCCCTAGAATGCTTTTCCTCTGCACGTTCTGCCCACCCTGCCCCACACCCACCGCCTACACCGGCCTGGCCCTCAGGTACTGTCCTGCACGTCGCGGCCTCTAGGCGCCTCCTCCCCGCCCAGCAACCCGTGCTTCCCTCTTGTAGCTGGGTCACCCCGTGTGGAGGCGGCCCGTCTGCTCCTCTGCTTCTCACTCCCTCTCTGGAACACGGCCTGCTTGGGGCAGCACGGTGGCTGACTCACCTTCACGTACCATGGCCCGCCACAGACGGGCGCTCTGTAACCTCGTGGAGCTGGCAAAGCTACAGCTGGCTGACCCTGTGGGGATGACCCCAGGTCCCTCAAGGGGTCTCGGGACCACAAGCCTGGCTCCCTGGCACAGCCTGGCTCCACCACAAAGTGGGGCGGGGGTAGAGGGAGGAGGCTCAGCCCCCCAGGTGGCCTTTGGGCCCACCCGTGCTGCAGCCATCCCAGAGCCTCAGGCCACAGGATGTGACAGATCTGGGACTTGGAGCCAGAAGTCCTAGGTCTGAGTCTCCACTCCTGCCCAGTGTGACCTTGAGCAAGACATATCCCTACCCATGGATGGGATCTCACACGGTTCAGTGCAGTGGTATATGGGGACGTGCTCTGCCAGGTCTGATGTTGCACATGACCGTATATACGACGGAATTTTGTGCAAGCATCTTCGCTTCATTCTCATTAGTGGAAGGAAGGGGAGCAAGTGAGCAGCAGTCTGTCCTGTGTCTCAGACGCTGTCACGTGTACTGTTAGGAGGTCTGCTGTGTATCAGGCTCTGTGTTCAATGCCGTCACGTTGGCCTCACATTAACCCCAGAAGAGGGTGATGCTGATGCCCTGTTCTACAGATGACAAAGCAGTCAGGGTTCAGAGAGGCAGAACAACCTACCTGAGGTCACACAGCCAGGATGGCAGAGCATGCTTGGCCCCAAAGCCAGTGACTTCTCGGCAGTACCAGGAGGGTAGGAGGGAAGGGTGCCCTGTGCTCTCCCCTCCTGGCCCAGGTGTCTGGGGTAGGGGCGCTGAGAGCCCTGGCCCAGCCTGCCTGGGAGGGGAAGACCTCCCATGGCAGCTCTTGTGGGCCGCTGGAGGGCGGCTGGGGTGGGCGCCTCACCTCCTTGGTCCTCGGCCACAGGAATGTCCTGAGGAAGCTCCTGACACAGCCACAGCAGGCCAAAGCAGACGTGCTGTCCCTGGAGGAGATCCTGGCCGAGGGCGTGGAGGAGAGTGACACGTCCAGCCAGGGCAGCGGCGGTGAGGGGCCCGTGCGGCTGAGCCGGACCCGCACGAAGGCCCTGCAGGAGGCCATGTACTACAGTGCGGAGCATGGCTACGTGGACATCACCATGGAGCTGAGGACGCTGGGTGAGGCCGCGCGCTGTGTGTGTCTGTGCACACCTTCTGATCTTCTGGAGACCGGGGGAGGGCCGGGGCCCACGGGGCGACGGGCACGGAGCCCGAGCACAGGGAGTTCGGTCTACCCAGGCTGGTGGCCGACGGCCAGAACAGGAGCTGCCCTGAGCCTTAGACAGTCCTTAGCGGGGACGCGTCTCCAGGTCATCGCCTCAGCTCTGTGCCCTCTGGCCTCTGTCCTCCCCGGTCACAGCCGTGGAATGCGTAGCACTGGGAGCGTCTGTAGCACTGTGAGTCAACGCTTCTGGTCAACTAGATGCTCTCTGTCACTCGGCCAATTCTTCAGTCCTCGGGTCTGCAAGTCTGTGGACTCCTCCTCTCCTCCAGGGAGGCTAGTCAGACAGAGAGATAGACAGACAGACCTAGTGAGATCCCAGCCGTGCCGCCTTTGCTGGTACTGATGGTCCTCATCTAAGAATGTGGAGTCACATGAAGCCAGGGCTGGCTCACTTTGAGCACGCAGCGCCTGATGGCCGTAGTGTTACTATCACAGGGGCCACAATGCCCTGCGCTGGGCCGAGACAGCAGGAGGCCACACGGCCTGCCAGGCACGTCAGCCTCAGTGTTCTCCACTGTAAAATGGGATGTCACTCCCACCAGTAGTCAGCCAGCTGAGGATGCTAACACTGCCCACATCATCGTGTCCCTGGGGAATGCCATTGGTCCATTTTTTAATCCACTGTGAGGCCGGGGGATAAGATGTTCTCTCTCTCATTACTGGGAACACAACTAGTGTTGGTCACGGCCTCCACAAAGTACTTAAATTACTCCGTGTCCCCGCTGACACTCTGGGGAGCTGGTAAACAGTAGTTAGGTGACGGTGGATGTGCGCTGACGGACCAGAGGCGGGTGCTGGTGTGGCTCTCCTGGGTGGGACGGGGCTCGTCTCAGCTTCCGGACAGGCGAGGGGCCGTGTGTCCTTGAGCATCCTGCATATTTTCTGGGCATCTGAGTCCACCTGGCCACCCCCCATAATTAACAGGTCCTCCCAAGTAGGTAATTCCAGGGCCCTGCGAGCAGCGGGGCTAGTGTGGGTGCTGGGGCGACACTGGAAAGGCCCCAGGCAGAGCTGTGGATTTTCAGAGCTTAGGCTCCCTGCACCCCGTCTGATGAGGGCCTGGAGTCCCCTCCGACCTCTCGGTGAGGCCCTTGTTAGGTGGCTCCCCGGCGAGAGGGTGTTCCGCACGCAGGAATGGGGTGGGGGCTCGGGTGAGTGACGGCTGCCCTCCACTGCCGGGCCCAGGTGTCCCCTGGAAGCTGCACGTCTGGCTCGAGTCTCTGAGGACATCCTTCTCCCAGTCGCGGTACTCGGTGGTGCAGAGCCTCCTGCGGGACTTTGGCTCCATCAAGGAGGAGGAGTACAGCGAGGAGCTGGTGGCCGAGGGCCTGCCGCTCATGTTCGACATCCTCAAGACCAGCAAAGTGAGTGTCGCAGGCAGGTCCCCACCTCTAGTCCAGAGCCCACAGCCCTGACCCCGATGCAGCCAGGCAAACATGGGGCCAGCCCCCGCACCCCACAGGTGGGCCCCGCCGCACACAGACTTGTGCTGCCTGGCTGCAGAGGGCCGAGGCCGTGGTTCGCCTGGGCCGGGGCCTGGCCAGAAAAGCCACTTGGGGAATCGGTGAAGGAACAGCCATCTCCTGCCAAGCCAGAGCTGGGAGGAACAGGAGACGGGGCTGCCCTGACCTGGCCGGGACTGCTGGAGTCAGCCTGACGTGGCTGCAGCTGCGAGCAGACAGCTGGCGGGCGGCTGACAGCCCTCTCTCTGCCTCTGCAGAACGACTCCGTCATCCAGCAGCTGGCTGCCATCTTCACGCACTGCTATGGCGGCACCCCCATCCCCAGCATCCCCGAGATCCGGAAGACCCTGCCGGCCAGACTAGGTGAAGGCTTGGCCCCGTGCCCGCGCTTTCCGCTCGCCACCCGTCTCTCCTCTTTCTTTCCCTCTCTCTGTCTTCCTGTCCCCTTCCCACGCGCCAAGACCCCGGCCTCGGTTTCTCTGCTCTACACCCTGTGTCCCCCCCACACACACCTCAGCACGCCTAAGAAACTCCCCGAGGATTCTCCTCAGTCATCGCCCTGCCCTCTTCCCCTCTGACACAGATCCTCACTTTCTGAACAACAAGGAGATGTCGGACGTGACCTTCCTGGTGGAGGGAAAGCTGTTCTATGCGCATAAAGTCCTGCTGGTGACGGCCTCTGACAGGTAGGCGGCCTCCTCGAATAATAGTCCCAGCCCCAGGGGTGGGGGAGCTTTGTTCAGACATGAGGTGACAGTGACATGCTGGAGAAGAGCCTTCGCCCTGCAGAGTGCTGTTATGTAGCCACGGAGCCCACCCCTGCCCCCAGGGACAGTAGGGAGGGCCCAGAGTGCTCCAGGAGGAGCTCTCTCTGAGGTAGCGTTCTTTCTGGTCGAGTAATTGCTTTTTTTTTTTAAAGATTTTATTTATTTATTTTTTCCCCCCAAAGCCCCAGTAGATAGTTGTATGTCATAGCTGCACATCTTTCTAGTTGCTGTATGTGGGACGCGGCC